CCCACCCCTGGGGTGGATGAGCCCCTAACTGTGGGCTTCAAGAGTCAAAGGCAGGAAGGGGCTGTATTCCTGGGGCCCAGGGCACAGAGGCTGCCCCCCAAGTTTGCTCCCACACCCACTGGGGCCCAGCTGGGGAGTGCCCAGCAGGTTTGTTTACATTTACCTGCGGGAGGGCGGGCACTTTCCCCAGCCTCACCAACCCCATCCTCCTCCCCTGAATAACTGAATTTCCTTCACACCCTGAGCTGGCACTACCCACTCGTCACTCACAGCCCTCCACAGCGCTTCCTGTCTCCAACCAAGTCAAAGGAAAACCCCAAATTTACTGTTATTGTTTACCAAACCAACTGCCTCCTCAGCCCAAGGCACACACATCTTCAAGCTGAGGGCAGGATAGACCCAGCCTAGACCAGTGACCCTGCTCCAAACCTAGGGCTCCCTGTGTCCTCTGGACGGTGGGATTCATAAAGGCCACCTAGTGCCTTACGAAGCATTAAAATTCTTGATCTCATTAAATTCCTCACAGTAGCCCCAGGACACAGGCACGTCACCCCCATTTCATACAAAAGGAAACAATTCCACTCAGTGGAAGGGAATCCAGTCTCGCTCTTGGCTCCCCCGCCCCACTTTCTTATCAAGAAACTTGGGGGAGGGGGGCAGTATTTGGTTTTATTTGTTCAAGGAACTCTAAACTTGGAAGCTGGAGTCACAGGTGAGATTCGCCACTGCTTAGTTGTGAGGTCTCGGCAGAGTCATTTTACTCTGTGAGGCTACGTTTCCTCAGGTAAATAAATTGGAGACTAGTCCTTAGACCCTCTTTACATCTTACAGCACTTAAGGGCATTCAGGAATCACACCGCTCTGTCTTTTGCACCCCAGAAGGCCAGCATTTGTCATTAGGTCAAAGTTCCCTTTCCCATCCCACCTGGGAGTTTAGCAGAGAGTCACAGAGCCACCCGTGTGTGGCTCAGGGGCATGGGGAGGAGTGCAAAGGCATGGGCAGGGCCCATGCATGAAGCTGGGCCCCTCGGGGCCCTTCACCCCAGCCATCCTCCCTGAACACCAACTCCATGCTGGATGGTCTCTGGCCACAAGCGTCCTGAGCCGGGCTGACCCAGACAGAAGAGGCAGCAAACACGAGTGTCAACGTGTGGGGACAAGAGGATGAGAAAGCTGTGGGACAGGCCTCTGTGGCAAAGCAGGTGCCTTGCAGATGCCACATCCTGATCCTTGGACCTAAGAACCCTGCAGATAGAATTAAGGTTAAGAGCCTTGTGATGGGGAGATTATCCGGGATGATCTGGGTAGGCTCAGTCTCATCACACAGGTCACTAAGAGTGGAGGTCAAAGCGGGGACAACAGAAGCATCGGAGGGATGTGATGTTGCTGGCTTTGAAGAAGGGAGAAAAAAGTCACTAGCCAAGGAATGCAGAAGCCTTTTGAAGCTGGAAAAGGCAAGGCAACGGAAACTTCTAGAGCCTCCAGAAAGGAATACCGCTGTGCTGAGACCTTGATTCTAGCCCAGTGAGACCCTATCAGACCAGTGACCTGTAAGATATTACATCTGTGCCGTTTTAAGCCATGGAATGCATCAAGGACTCAACAGAAAAGGGATACGGCCTCCAAAGACAACGGAGCTCTGACCATGCCCTTCTGCCCTCTCACCCTGGTTCCCCTCCTATCTGCCCTCGGCTCCTCTTCCCCCAAGTTCTCGTCACTTCTGACACTTGTGTCAGCACAGAGAACACAACTGGATTTCTCTGAACACAAAAGCTCATGATGGTTCACCTGAGCGGTGGTTTCTAGAACACTGAGTGGGGTCTCAAGCTAGGAACTAGCCTCAACAATCCATTCAGGGGGTATAAAGTGGAGGTCGGGGGTCAACAGGGGCTGCCCTGCCTGAGCCCACCAGCCTGAGCAGTGGAGCCGTGATCCTGCTAATGACTGAGGGGATAAGCAGGCCCCTCCTCCAGCCACAGTCAGGTGTGAGGATGGAAAACACCCCCCCCCCCACCCCAGGCCTTTGGATCTGGAGTTCTAGTCCAAACCAGTTAGCCGTGTGAGCTCCAGTACATTTTTGCGCCCTCAGTCAGTTCCCTCATCGTGAAGCAGGGGTAACCACCCTGCCCTGCGTTTCTCCCCAGTCAGCTCTGAGGACCATGTGAGAAGATGGGAAGTTAACTACTCGGGTGCACTGTTTTTCCTCTCCTTTCCTGAAAGAGCAATGGGGTCAGTAGACCAGTTTCTACCTTAGGCCCTACTGCAAGCCAATCCATGGTGTGACCCCAAACATCCCACCTCTGGGCCTTGCTAGTTTCATCCGTGAACTGGCGGGAATTGGGTCCTGTGAACACGGAGGGCTCTTCCAGGTCAATGTCGAGTATTTTGGTTTAAGCCTAACCCCTATCGCCCCCTGCTGGAACTTTCAGGAACTACACCAACCTGCTCCCCTGGTCTCTCCCAGGGTTTGAAACAAGCTCCTCCCATCCCAGGCCGGCAGGGCCCCTCAGGCTGAGGAGGCCAGCACCTGGCTGTGGCTAAACAGGTCAAAGAATCAAGTACTGAGAAACAGCTTCACTCCTGATTCAGTATTTCGCAAAAGAGCATGGGCCCCCCACCCCTTGTTGTCACCCCACGCTGCTATAAAGGACAGCAGCATTCATGCCCCTACACCAGACACATCCTGGCCAGACCCTGGACGGGACAGGCGCTGGCTCCCACTCACCCCGGAGGCCCTCCCGTCCTCTCCCCTGCCAGGACACCCAGACTCTGCCCTCCCAACATACAGAACCATCTCCATCTGTGGGAAGAAGAGAAATGGGGGGAGGGGGGTAGAAGGGCTGCGTCCCGTGAAGGAAGAGCAAGGAAACCTTTCAACTATTAAATCTGTTTAGTAAAGACAGTTTCGCTCATACAAAACATCAATAGTTTACAACAATCTGAGTGCTGGACACACCATCAGAGACAGGGAGGCGCTGCAGGCCCTCCGAGAAGGGCCTTCCCCTGTGCCCAGAGAAGAGCCGGGGGGCTCCTCCACCACCTTGCCCCTGAGGGAGACGAAAGCTGAAGGATTACAGCCCCGAAGACCATGGCACAGAGGACGTCTCCCCAGGTTGCTCATTAACACTGGGGGAGGGCCCTCCCCACCCTCCCCTCACTGGCCTGGATACGTGAAGCTGAGCTGTTTGGGGTAGGGAAAGTGGCCAGTGGGGACGGGGCGGGGGGGGGGGGGGG